GGGCTCATGCGGGAGTGGGGAGCGGGAAGGGAGGGGAAAAATGAGGACCTAATGTCGGGGGCTTAAATGGAGAGAAAATGTTTTGAGAAACGATGTACAAATACGCTTTACACAATTGATGTGTGTATGGATTGGGATAACAGGTGTATGAGCCCCTAATAAAATGTTAAAAAAGAAAAAAAAAAGGCACCTAGTTTATAGGGCAATGTTGGAAGTGTTCCATTGATTAATTTAAACCCCAACTTGGAGCCTTTTCATTCAACTTTCCCCTGGTGTTCTGATTAGTCAGTTAGGGCTCCTTTTGCCCATTCGCTGCTTAGTCCTTTAGCCAGCTGCCTAGACTCCTGATTATCGTGCCAGCCAGCAGGCAGCTCAGGGATGTTGCCACTTTCTGCTGGGAGCTGGGTGCTCAGCATGCGGTCAGAACGTCTCAATCCAGGCCTTAAAATATTGAACTGGAGGTGGTCTGAAGACCGGCCTGTTTTCATCCCTTTTTATCTACCTGTTTTCCTCATTCCTTCTTGTCTGAAAATGAGCTCCATTAAGAAAAGATAAAGTGCAAATAAAAATAACTTATAATTTATCAAGGGGCCACAGGGTGGGAGGGGTGGGGAGGGAGGGAAAAAAGAGGAACCGATACCAAGGACTAAAGTAGAAAATGTTTTGAAAATGATAATGGAAAACTGTATACAAATGTGCTTGATACAGTTGATGTATGGATTGTTATAAGAGCTGTAAGAGCCCTCAATGAAATGATTTATTTTTAAAAATGGATAAAATAGTAAAGAGACTTTTGCAAGTAGATCATTCAGTCTGATTGATTATAAGATTGAAAAAAATGTGCCACCAAGCTACTAGACGTGCTGTGAGATTGTCATATTTAAAAAGATCTGTTTCTCAATTCTTGTAAAGGTTTTCAAAGCAGGTACAAATTTGGAATTATACAATACAAAGGGGTACCCCCCCCCAAAAAAAAAAACCCAGAATTTTCCCCCAAAGTTATGCATTTAAATGTTTTTACAAAACAACTTTATCACCTTCAAGGTGATAATGTATACTTAATACATTTGTCAAATCTGTGATTCCATTCTTGGAAACATTTTTTTTTAAAAACATTTTATTAGGGGTTCATACAACTCTTATTACACAATACATACACACATCAATTGTGTAAAGCGCATTTGTACATTCATTGCCCTCATCATTCTCAAAACATTTTCTCTCCACTTAAACCCCCAGCAT